GTGAAAGGGTCGTTCGACCCCCAAAGGGGTCGCTACCCACAGGTTGAGAACCGCTGAACTAGAGAGAAAGGGAAGATTTGCCAAGTTTAGGTACAATAAAATAAGGAAGGGTTAACGTAAAGGGGAAGATGGGACTAGGACCTCGTGTGTGGGTGGATTGTATTACACTGCACGTTACATCATCTAGAACAATAGTAGTAGAGGGAACAAGGGACATCAGAGGGGAGGAAACAATTGTGCCTGTAGGTGCCCTGTGCCAGGCTCTGTGCTGCATGGCCATCATTGTCTCATTTGACCTTTGCAACAACCCTGCAACATACTTTCACTATCATCATTTTGCAGAAGGTAGAATCCAGGCTAGAATCCAGGGCTACACAGAAACATGCAGACTCCTTCCATTATACCATGGCTGATATTTATCGAGCGCTCACTAGGCACCAGGCTACCCATGAGACTAGTAGTAGTGTTACCTGCGTTTAGAGTTGGAGAAATGGAACAGAGAGGGGAGGTCAGTTGTGTGAGTTACACAGCTGGGAGAAGCAGGAAGCTTTTCTGAACAGTGAGATTCCATGAGCTCCCTCTTACCTACTCTGCTAGCACCCTCACGCTGAGGCTTTCGTATTTATCATCATTACGGTTTGGGGCTGAAAGACAATAGATTTATCTCTTTTAAATCACCTCTTTTGAACCTGAAGGAAGGGCTACTAACAAGTGTAAGGCCTGGGGCCAGAGGACCAATGAAGCCTAGAGACCTTATGTCTAAATAATTGGAAGTAATAAATCACGATAACAATTAAGTGCAATGCAGCCTCTCCTTCCACCTTGATAAATACCTCTGCATCATGACCTGGAAGTCCAAGCTCTCAGGATCCTCAGCGATCCGTTCCACTGGTGGGTGCGGGGAACATTGTCCCCCGTCCCTGGCCTTGGCCTGCCCACGTCTTTCCTTCCTCATAGCTCATCCCATGCTGAGGGGCCGCAGGCTCAAGCATGTGGACGCCCAGCCCCGTGCCAGTGCATTCCATGCCCCCTGCAAGCTGCTTGGCTATTGGTCAGGCATAGAGGTGTCTTCACTAGGACAGGCCTGGAGTAGAGGTCCACGGAGACCCAGAGGTGGCCTTGGGGCTTTGGGCGCAGGCTCTGGGTGGGCACATCCCTTTGGCTTCGCTGACACCTCACCCTGTGGGGAGCAGTGTGCTAGGGAGGTCCATTTACGAGCCCTCCGCAGTCCTGCGGCCAGGTGCGTCTTACCTCTAAGAGTGTCCCTGGGGAGGGGACAGGATTTAAACCTGTGGTCTTGATTAGCACTTTATTCAAATGACCACTAATCCCGGACCATGCGTTAGAAATGTCTTTATCCCTGAGGGTAAACCCGATTCTTCTCGCGCCCCACTTGCCTCACCCCCAGCGTGACACCCACACCGTCAGTTTTGTGTTCCTCACTCCTGATTGGTGATGTCACCGCTGCGTGTTGGCCATCTTCCTCACCATTCACCATCAGCACCAGATCCTGTTGGTCCCGGCTCCTCCCCTCCGATCTCACCTTGGTTGAAGTGGCCACCAACTGTTGTGTGAACAATTCTGTCTTCTCGCCTCCTCCATCTCTCCCCACTCCCAAATCTGCCCACCACACTCATGCCACAGGTCATTTGCAAGCCTTCTACCACTAGTCCATACAGCACCGTTGTACAATTAGAAGAAGGGGGGACCCTTTCTCCAGGAATTCACAGTCCACAGACTGACACGTAGAGTCAGATTTCTACCCTGCTCTCCTCAGCCCTGAACCTTCAGCAGTAAATAATAGGCACCGCCACAGGGGTAGCATTGCGTCCTTGCAAAACGCCTTTCAAAGATGCCCTGAGGTACAGTTTAAACTCTTAGCACAGCACACAGAACTGCTTTTCCAGCTTCTCCTCTCCGCAGCCTCTGAGGCTGGACGGGCTGGGTGCTCCGCTGTGGAGGTTACCTATATCCCATGACTATCGTTCCTTCTTCTTAAGGTGCCTTCTCTTTCTCTCACTATGGTGAAAGCTAGTTCTGCCTCAGGAACTAATTCAGATGTCATCGGCTTCATGAAGCCTCTTATGTCTCATGCAGGTGGCGTTAGACATCTGAGCCCATTACCTTTGTAAATGTTTTGATTATAGAACTGATTATATTGTCCCACCTTTACTTGTTTCCATGTCTACGTGCTACACAGTGCACAATTCAGCAGCCAAAAGTAATTAGAAAGGAGTTCTAGCCTTGACTCGAGTTTCTCAAGAAACACAAATAGAGGTCAAGTCCATTGTCCACACCCATGGCTTATTATTATCCTTTCTTCCTCCTTCACACCCTTCCTTACTATCCCTGACAAAAACCATTCCTCCTCCACCCCAGCCTGCACACTTTTTCTTTCCTCTTCTTTTATTGTTCTCCTTCCCCCGCCCCAAACCTCACCCCTCCCCCCCATCACTTTATTATGTAGAATGACATAGCTTCTCCACCAGGAAAAAAAAAATCCACCATTTTCAGGAGAGGGTAAATTAGGCCATAAATTACAGGATTGTCTTTGCTGGATTAGAGACTGAGCCAGTCAGATTTTCTAGGTTACGCTGCACAGCCCCCAGATCTCAGGGGCTTACTCAAAGGTTTACTTATTGCTCACATGTTAGCTGTGGATCAGCACAGGCCTTCTTTCTTATGGGATCTTGGCTGGAGAAGCAACCTGTACCTAACACAGGCATTCTCATGGCTGGTAGAGCCACACATTGGCTCTTCAACTTTCTGCTCAGATGTGGCATATATCACTTCTCACATTCCACTGACAGAAGCAAAGTTTCATGGCCAAGAATGGTAATGGGGTGGGAAATGATACTTCTCCCCCAGGAAGGGGGG